CACCACCTGAGATCGGAAATTCTTTCAGCTATTCAAATCTTTTTTCAAATTTATTCTAGCTATTATTAATATCATTATTTTAACACGGCGCACGAACTTTTTCCTCAACCTAATAACTAGAAAACGGTTATTTTTTGTCTTTTTTCGCAGGCTTTTTGGAAAATTCCCATGGAAAAAAAACATATTAAAGACGGAAGAAGTTTTCATACACTTAATTTTTAATGAGGATTTGACCGATAGTGATTTCCCAGCGAAGAAAGATTATTTGAAATATATTTTGTTTTTTGTTCTTTCCAAGCTTGGATTTTTCTGGGACGATTTTCATCCCGATTTGTGTTGATATGTTATTTTTAAAATATGTATTAGGTGCAGAATTGTTCGCTTTATAACACATCAAATTTGGATTAGCCTATAACGTTTGGTTGCTTGACTATTCAGGTTTTTCAAAACCTCAAAGTTCCAGTAAAATCCTTTTTTCCGATTACTGTTTTAGCTTTAATTTTTTTCATATATCGGGTTTCCCTTAATTTTCTGCGCTCTCTCGAATGAAATGTCACTTGAAGAAATTGAATGAAAATTGACGATTTTATACATAAAAAGCTAGAACTGGCTAATTTTTCGGTCAAAAACTACAGCCAATTTATAGAGAACATTGAGTTACGTATACATGCTAAGACAGAGCCAAAACGAACACATACTTCATGGTCAAAAGCCTAATTAACTGTTTGATAGTAAAAAGCTCGGATGAGTGCGTTACCGCTTATTTCCCGAGAGAAACGAATTAAAAAAATCTAAAACGTACATCCGATAGCACGTCAAAAGTTAGCGATCAATAATTCTCTCTGAAAATATCGCACACACTAAGGCGCAAAATTAAGAAAAAGAAGCTAAATGGTAACGCACTCATCTGTCGTTTGATTAAGTTTTTCAAGCAGCTGATTTACACTAGCAAAAAATACGAAGTCTTAGTAACCAGCCTGGAATAAAGTCCATTTGCGGGAGATTCTTTTTATGCCATAGGTTTATCATAAAACGCTTTCGGACCGTGTGCTGACGACCTTCTATTTTATGTAATCAAAAACACAATTATAAGATTCACTATTACAAAATATTTCGAATTTTGGATTTTGAAAAATTGCAAATTCAACTTTGATCATGCAGGCTGACGGTTAACCGCACAGGTCGCTCTGATTTAGAACAAATGAATTTTCTCAGCAACAAAACAAAATTCGAAGAAAAGCTCAACATATTTTTAAAGCTGGTTACCTGGCCTATCTAACGATGTGTGACTCGAAGGTCTAGCTCTCCACACAAAAACTAGTAGGGCTTTTGTGTCGAAGGGTCTAGGTTTTTGACTAATATACGTTCTGGGCCTTGCCAAAATTTCACTTTTTGGTTTAAAGACTTGGTAGTACCTTGGCTGGATGCAGTTTTGAATGAAGAATTCAAATATACTAAGCTGAAGTATCCATGATACTTCAAAAAAAAAACGCAAGTCTTTTTCTTAACACGAATATTTTTCGTGTTTTTGAGACCTTCCCAGTGTTTTGGGTTTTTCAACATGAAAACTTCATGTTGAAAAACTCAAAACATCATGATGACAAAAAGGGTTTTCTGATTGGGAAGGCGATATTCGTGCACTGCAAGTTTGTATTAGTTGCAGCTTACTATGATACCGGGAAACTAGAATATTCTTAGTATGATACTGTGGTACTGTGAAAGTCATAGTATGTCATTATGATAATGTGAAACTATAAAATTCGTAGTATAATACTGCCTGACTGTGAAAGTATGAAAGTATAACGATGTCATACTGTGGAGCTATGAAAGTCATCGGATGATACTCGATACTGTGGAATTCATAAGATGATACTGTGATGCGGGAGGTGATGTTCGTGATCAGCTCGTCCAGCTGAATCTGAATATCTACAATAGAAACAAAAACAAATTTCACTGCAAGTTTGCATTAGCTGCACCTTATGAATTTCATAGTTTCAGAGCATCATAGTACTATATTATCAACTTTGCAGTCTCACGGCGTGACAGTATCATACTATGACATTCATAGTTTCACATTATCAGAGCATCATAGTACGAATTTCATAGTTTCCCTGTATCCTAGTAACAAACCATAGTATCACGTCTCACAGTACCGCACTAGGACTACGATATATTGCGAATTTCACAGTTTCACACTATCATACTATCATACTATCACACTACGCATTTCATAGTTTCATGTTATCATAGTATCATACAATGAACTTCTGTGCTTGACTTTCATAGTTTCTGAGTATCGTCGTATCACACTACAATTTTCGTACTCAGGGTATCATACTGTGACTTTCATAGCTTCACAGTCTCGTAGCATCCTGGTACGGAGTTCATAGTTTCCCGGCATCCTAGTTCCACGCCATGAATTTCGCCGTTTCACAGTCTCATAGTCATTCAATAATATTGCACAATAATATTGGGTAGTATTGGGTTCCACAATACACTAAATTTCAAAATTTTAGAGTCTAAGGACTTAAGAACTCAATAATTTAGGAACTTAAAAATTCTACAATTTTACAATTTAAGAGTTTAACAGTTGCAGAACATAAGAATTGAACAATTCTTGAATTTTGAATTGTAGAATTGTAGGGTTTGCGAATTTAATAACTGTAGAATTTAAGAATTTTCGGATTTAAGAACTTAAGAATTCTAGTCCAGAAAGTCTAGATTGTTAGACTTTAAGACTTTCCGAATATAAGAATTCGACAATTCTAGAACTTTAGAATCGTAGAAGTTTAGAATTTAGGAATTTAAGACTATTATCGTGTAGATTAACGTCACGCTTTCTTCATTGGTTTTTCCAACATATCAGTCGAAGAGTATATATGTCACAGCATATAAACATCGAAAAGATATATATCGTCTTGTATGATGTTTTCTTTTTTTATATACCAAAGCGTATACTCAAGTGTATGACTATCCATCTTGCATCGTACGCGTCCTCCTTTCCTCTCTGAAGGAGTAAAGCTTAAAGATCTTTCTTTATTCGAAAAAATGTGACGTGTCGGTGTCGACTGGCACTTCATCAGACAATAGGATGCATACACTCACACTCTCTTATATACACACGCACACACTCCTTCTCGACAGTCCTTCTTCTTTTTCGTTCGTACATATTGTTTCTCTTTCTTTCGCTTATGCTCTATGATAGCGGGACGGCAAGACAGTGATACTGGAGGAAAGAGATCATTAATCTTCTTCTGCTGTCCCACTATCACCGTCAGGACGGTGATAGCTGGACGGAAGAAGAAGATTGCTACACATTTTGCCAAAATTCGGTCCACTCTAAAACATTTTCTAAATCTTGATTTAACATATTTTCACTTATAAGAATATTGTTTGAGCTATGATACATTGACGTATCGTCCGCAAATAAACGAAGTTTTGACTGTTTATTATTACAAATATCGTCGATGAATATTAAAAATAGAAGTGACCCTAAAATCGAGCCTTGAGGGCTCCCACGGTTTATGACAAGGAGTGGTGAAGACTGTCCATTTGCAAGTGTAGTGCATTTTCGAGCAGTTAGATAACTCTGAAATCAGTTTAAGAGCACTGGACTCACGCCTTTTTGCTTTAGTTTGTATAAAAGTCCTTTATGCCATACTTTGTCGAAAGCTTTCGCAAAATCAAGAAATATAGCTGTAGTGAATTCTTGAGAATCTAGATTTTCTTCGATTTCATGCACCAAATCAACTAACTGGTTAGTCGTAGAGTCTCCTTGAATGAAACCTGACTGCAACGGTGTTAGCAAGCAATGTTTTTTCAGATGTCTATAAAGCTGATTATAAACTAACCTTTCGAGGATCTTAAACATAGCAGGAAGAAGCGTGATGGGTCTGTAATTTGTAGGAAGAGTTGTATCACCATCTTTAAGAAGTGGATGTATTAATCCCAGTTTCCATTCATCGGGAAAAACTCCTGATGAAAGAGAATAGTTACAAATGTGTTTTAAGTCTTCAGCAATAACAGGCCCAGCTTCTTTTAAAATTTCTGAGCTTATGCCTTGGCTTGTAGCTTTACCAACATTAATCATTTTTCAACTTCCCTGGTGGTTACTGTAAAAAGATCTAATGTGGAAGTTGAGAGAGGGAGTTTATCAGGTGGAATATCTTTGTCATAATCGGCAGTAGTCATGGTACATATGGCAGCAAAATGTTGATTAAAAACATGTGCTTTCATTTTGTCTTCAGACCATTCCTGATTATTTTGATCTCTCAGCTTAGAAATTTTTGAAGAGCGAGACCGTCGAAATAATGTTTTGGCTAAATTCCAGCATGATTTTTTCGATGCGTTAGTTTGACGTATTTTTTGAAGATAATTTTCTTTCTCAACTTCACATGTCTTTTCAAATTCGATAATTACTTTTTGATACTTCGCTTTGGAAGATGCTGAGGGATTCGTTTGTTTTTGTTTTCGATATAAGCGTTTTTTCTGTCGAGAAAGTTGTCTTAACTTCTGAGTAAACCATGGCTGGTCTAATGAAAATACGCGGACTGTTTTCGAGGGAACACATTTATCTACTGCATTCATTACATAATTTTCTAACATCATTACTTTCTTGTTCACACAGGTCGAGTTATAAAAGAGAATTGCAACAGTATTAAGCAATTTCACTAATTCGTAGCGAAAATAGTTCCAATCAGTAGCAGAATAGTTATAGATTTTACGTGTCAGTGGTGGTGATCGAGTAGCGTCAGTTGAGAGCACAACTCTGACGATCTTATGGTCACAGTTCACGCACAAAGCGCCCTCTACTTCTACATTTTTTATGAAGTTACTTGAACTAGTAAACACCAAGTCAAGCACCGTTTTAGTCATTCCATCTTTGCTAACTCTTGTAGGCTCTTTCACTAATTGTTTGAAATTGAAAATATCAGAAAATTCAAAAAAACTTTTTGCCAGCTGCCGTTTCTGGATGCGAATTACACCAGGCGTCACTATGTGCATTAAAGCACCACGTTATTTTCGTTACTTAAACATGTGACTGGGCTGAAAGTTAAATTATGTAAGTCAAAAAGTGTTGTTGATGCTCGTTAAGGAGATGGAGACGAATCAAAAGATATTAATTTTGTTACTGGGTTATCATCAACAATCAACGGTTGTTGAAGTGAAACATGCAGAGTAGATGGTGATAAATCAAGAAGGCATTGAGAAGTAGATTGAGAGATGATAGCATTTATAGGACTAGGTAAACATGTTACATTTGAATTATGAAGAGATTCTTGATGATCAATATTATCAATTATATTATCAATTGTCTTAGATGTACTAACAGAAATTTCTTTATCAACATCATTATCCTGAATACTTTCAATCGGTGAAGGTAAATGTTCTTCATCAACAATATCTTGATCTTTTACAAGATTTTCAAAATTCGGAATCACCTTGAGGGTGTTGGCCAAACATGATTTCGTAGGGTGTGGCTTTAGTAGTGTCAGATGTTCTTGTATTGTTACCATAAACTACAGGCAATAAACCTTCTGACGAATGTGTTATGTTATTTGTTTGTAACCATTTTCCTAACGATAAACTTAAGACGCAATTCGCCCTTTTTTTGCATCCTTGCGATTGTGGATGACGTGGACGACCACGAATAAAGCACAAATTAGGAAAAACTGTTTTTAGTACTAAAATAACCTTAGCAACGAATTCTGATCCATTATTTGAATGTAATAAACGTGGGGGACCAAAAGTAAAAAATAATTGACGAAGTTTTACAACTACTTCTTTGGCTGATTTATTTTCTAATGGATAAGCCCAAGTGAATTTTGAAAAATGATCAATACAATGTAATATCCAACAGTAAACAACGTCTGCAGAAACAACATCAGGTCTTGTTCTCATATCTATTAAATCAATTTGTAGACGTGTCATAACACCTAATGCTATGATAGGTTTCGAAACAACTGGTTGTTTTAATGGTTTTCGAAGTTGACATAGGAGACAATGCCTTAAGAATATTTCTACAACAGCTCTAGGTACCGATGAATAATGCGAATTAATTTCGTTTAGAGTTTTAGTTCTACCACCATATGATACATTTAAGTGACATTCTTTCATTACATTAAAAAATCATTCGTAAATACACAGCGGTTTTTTATTTTTCGAACAACAAACAATATCAGTCCCAGCAATTTTCTGAATTATAAAGTTTTTCCTTGCCCAAAATACAAACTTTGTAGGAACTGATTCCGAAGATGTACCTTTCTCTAATAGTAAACTTTTGAGTATTTTATCATATGTTTCTTTTCTTATGAATGTTTTCTCTCGATACTTTTCTTGTGATGAAGCATCATATTTTTCAACGTCATCAAAAAATCCTTTTTCAGAACCAGCAGTTATACCGGGTGCGCAAGGAAGAGATGAAGTGTCTGTAGAAGACAAGGTAGTAACAGATGATGAAGCAACAGCTGACATCCTAATTATTTAAAAGAATAATTAAAACTTAATTACCTTTAAAGCTGAACAGAAACTTGTCGATAATACTTTAATAATTAACGAAGTAGAAAATATTCAAAAAAGAAAGTAATAATCTTTAAGCAGAAGGATAAGATTCTTTATAATACTCTTTACAAAACAGTTGCCAGTTAACATGGTTGCTGATTATCGCCAAATACAACTTATTTATATAATCTCATCCAACAGTAACGGCGGGCGAGGAATTAATGATAAAATGTTCACAAGATGATCGAATATAGCATCTAAATCTAATCAGACGAGAACAATTACATATAAGAATTAAACACTCGGAATATAGAAAAGTTTATGAAAAGTTTATGCGTTAGTTAACGCATTTGGCTGTGTTCTTTTAATAATTAATAAGTTTACATGATTATAAAAATTTAAATAACAGTTGATTGCATGATATATCAATATGATATTATATAAAAAGCATGATTATCAATTTTAAATAACTATTGCATTTCACTCTTGTAATATCTCAGATTTGCCAAGATTCCAGTTCTGACCAATATTTCTCTAGTCAAAACTAGAATTCCAGTTTTGCCCGTAACATATATGTGTGTGTATAATATTTTCTTCGATAAGAAAAAAGTACTTTGTTTTTGTCAAAGAATCATCAGATAACTCAAAAACTAGGCAGTATCCTTTTCGGAAAAATAGTCTATCTTAAAGTCCGGATCGACTACTTTACATTCGTTAAAAATTGGAGAAAGGGTGCCTTTTTAATTAAGGCTACTTTAATTAGTTAACTTGTGAGAAAACCAGGAAAATTTCTAGTGTATCCTTCGTTTTCCTTTCGTAGAAAAGAAAAAACCTTCATAATGCGGTAAAATTGATTATTTGATTTGAAAACGGATATATACGTACGTATTCCAACAGATTGAGTAAATAGTCCACTGGACTTTGCAAACTTCCGTATGCTCTAATAAAAATAAGTATTAAAAATAATATAAAGGGTGGCCCAGAAGTCCTGTGTCATTCAGTATTTTCTCAATATCTTGATCAAGGTTAATCGACAAGTCTCAATCTTTTTTTAAAAGAAGCCTCATTCAGTTCTCTACACCAAACATATTGAGCATTTCTTTATATACTATAAGAATAAAAAAATATAAAGAAAATAGCGGCGGGAAAGCTTCAATATCGATTACTTTCAAACCGAAAAAACAGGTTTTTCAGTTTCAGTCTCTTATTTTTTGCGATATGAAAAAAGAGAAAACGGCCATTTTGTAGTTCTTGAAAAGCTGGCTATATTTATAACTCTTCATAGGCTCAAGCGATCACAGGAGATTATTTTTCTTTCAGCGATTTTGCTCCAAATCATCATTTTCTAACCGCAATTTTGAGACACTTAGGAAAATTTGTGTGATTTGATCCAAATTACATATCATGACTTTAGATCTGGTTTATGTTGAAGCAACATGATTTTTCTGTTATATCCAAATAGAGAAAGTCGAATAGTCTCATTTCGTTTCCTGTGCCAAGGCAAAAAATCAAATTTTCCCCTTTCTTTTTTACTTTTAGTAAAATCTTTGTTTGTGACGCCCATGTAAAGTCATTGCGTCTGAAAAGACGCGTTTTGACGCGTTTATTTTGAAAAAGACGCGTCTAAACGCGTTTTTTTCAGAATTAAATGGTCAGACGCGTCTGAACGCGTCGTACCGAGATGCGTTTAGACGCGTCTAGCACTTTTTATTAAAAAAAACGCGTTTTAACGCGCTTTACCAAAAGAAGTCTCCAAGACGCGTCTGGAATTTTTGTTAAAAAAGACGCGTCTGAACGCGGTTTTTTCTTAAAACGTTTGTCAGACGCGTCCGCCACTGTTTATAAAAAAAACGCGTCTTAACGCGCTTTGCCAAGAGAAATCTA